AATATTATTTGTCAAACTGTAACTGACAATGTTGATATTCTAAAGATTATGATTAAAGAAATAAAAGTTAATGAAAATATAAATGATGAGAAATTTTTAGATGCAATTATTGATGGTTTAAAAGTTTACAATGAAAATCTTGAAGATGGAATTGAATGTATTATGATATTAATTGAACGAATGAAAAAAATATCAAATAAAAACTGGAAAAATATTTTACGATTAAAACAAAAAATTATTTTGAAATTAGCTACGAAAGAATATTCTGAAATACAAACACGAATTCTTGTTGCAAAATTAATCGTTCGGTATGAATAAAATAAAACTTTCTTATTTATATAATATTTTTTTATTTAGAACAATAACTGCATTTCGATCGAATGATCGTCATGATGTAATCAATCGTTTACTAAATAAATCTCATCATTCACTTCTTTTTCTTGCATATGTTTTTCATGATTTATTAAATGCTGAAGAAACAATTGATAATGAATTATTTCTTGATTATCTTCATAAACTTATTGAAAATCATTCATCAGAATCAATTGTTTTCGACTTACTTCAAATTTATTGTAAACAAAATTTAGATCAACATGAAAAAATTTTAAAATTACTTGAAAATGAAAATAAACAAGAGAATTTACCTATACAACAAACAAATCAATTACTTCTTATTCTGAAATTATTTCCAGATTCGATTTCAACAACAGAAATAATTTATAAAGCAATTATTAAAAAAGCTATCTTATTTTTTGAATCATCCAATGAAAATAATCAGTAAGTTGTCTCGAAAATAAATAGATATGTATTGAGAGTAAAATTCCAAATTTTCTCTTTGAGACTAGAGGTGTAAGCTGTGCAGATGAGCAGCCGCCGTGACACCAGAAGTTTTAAAAACATGTAAACCGCCGCCGCTGAGAAATTTTAGTTACAACCGCTGCGCCACGGATCGTATTCGAAGTTTTCGAGCCGCTACCGCTGTGCAACCTTGGAATATCAAATCTGCGCCGCCGCCGATTATCCTTCGGGTTTACGACTCTATTTTCTTTGATGGAACAATAGAAAATGTTTGAGGAAAATCATCACTGGATTTTTTTGGGAGATTCTGATTTGTAAAGGCAACAATTTATTCACAAAATAAGACAGTAGGAAGATTCGTTTGATTTATAGTTCAACTCCTACTAGAATTTAGCAAACAAATCTGCTCATTGCTTATAGCACTTGAGTAGTATTTTGAATAAAACTATAGAAAAAGTGAAATCATCATTCACATAAATCGCATCGATGTCTAATATACAATTCTGAGACTTTGATAGCATCTTGTCTACTCTTATATATTTCGATTGTATTTCTCGTACATATTCAAGAATAAACAACTTTTCTAAGACAGTGACTCTAATATAATAAGTCACTCTCTGTACTATTGTCCTAGTAATGAATCGAAGTTGAATCAGTGCTGGGCAAATACGGACTTTCTTGAGTACGAGTACTATTGTATCGAGGGTGATTAGGAGTTTCTGCCATAGTTGGTAGGGAAGAAAATCTATATTTGAACAGTCGAAACAAAAAGACGTCGAGAATTCATGTCATCCATGCTGCACAGAATCACATAGTAACTTTTTATGAGACATAACCAAGAACTCCAAGATCATATCCTCGAGTACGAGTACTTTGCCGAGCCCTGAGTCGAACTAAAATATTTAATTAATCTTTTGAATCGAATCAAAAAATTATGCCATTTCATTGTTTATAGTTTCTTTTTTTAAAATTTATTAGGAATATTGATGAATGGATGTTATCTTTTGAACAATGTACTACTCGCCTTCTAACTCAAATAAAAAGTGAAATTGATCTATATGATTTAACCAAACATCTATTAAAATATTTTAAAATATTTACAATAAATTCAATTAGTTTATTAAAAACTTTAATTCAATTTTTTGTATCACAAGAATCATTTGATCAAAAACATCTATCAAAATTATTTGCAAATTTTCTTAAACATAAAAATTTTCTTGAACAACTTTCATCATCAAATTGTTCAATACTTGTTGATATATTATCATTATTTGTTTCACATTATGATTCAAAACAATCATCAATAACAATTGAATGTTCGAAACATTTTCCCATGTTATTATCAATTTATAATCCAACATTATCAAAAACTAATCAACATACATTAGCTTGTATGTATACCTATGAAAAACATGGTTATTCAATGAAATCAGCTTTTGTTTGGGGTGAAGCAGCATTAAAATTATATAGTACAACAACAGATACAAAAAATGTTTTATTACAAGCATCGAAATTAGAACAAATTATGAGTTTATTAGATGATAGAATGATGATGAAATCAATTTTATTTTATCCAGTAACAAGAAGATTGAGAGTAAGTTTAGAAACATTTTTCACATTTTAAAACAAAAAAGTAAATCCTTTTTTAGACAATTGAACCGAGTGTATTTGAAGAAGGTGATCATATTTATGATCCAGCTTATTTAATACCCGTTTTTTATCATTCACTTGGTTCAGGTAAATGAGATTCAAAAAGAATAATTTTCGTTTAATGAATTTTTGAATATTTTTAGAAAATGTTGTAAAATGTCAACAATTTGTTGAGAAACATTGTCTTGCTTATTGTTTAATGGCATTAAGTTCACGTTGTGGTTTATTACGAGCTGTTGTCTACAATTGTCTCGCTCGTTTTGAACAACATTTAGTAACACAAAAATTCTATTGTAAAGAACAAATCTTAACAATGTTAACATTATTAAAACAAAGTATTAAAAAATCGAACTTAAAACTAGCACCCATTGTTGCTTTGTTTCTATCAAAATTAGTTGATCTATTTACTCATCCCGGTAATAAATTAAATTTTTCAAGCATTTTCTTATTGTACATTTAGAATCGAAAATGTATCGAACAATAACAAGATTTCTTCTTAAACAACCGTATATCGATCTTGTTCATATTCCACTTTTTGGTGAACTTTTTCATAGTGCATCAACTGAAGTTCGTATTCAAATTTTAAATTTTATTATTTTTATTTCATATTTTTCTAGTATAAATATGAACGTGGTTGGATATTAAATTTATTAAAACATGGTATAAAAGATTCAATTGATTATACATTATGTACGAAAGCATATGTATTTAAAACATTAATGACATTTTATAATTGTTCATTATGTGATGATTCAACTAAAGTTTGTTATTTTAGATTTTTGTTTATAATTTTAAATTTTGTATTTTTTTCAAGATTGAAATTCTTAATGTCTTTCATTCAACAAGTAAACTTCAGGATGTATTAATGTCACTTTTATTTGATTATGGATTTCTTCTTTGGCTACAAATATTGATAAAAAACTGGTAAGAATTTGTAAATTAATAATTAAATATATTTTGTGTTTTATTAGTTCGAGTGAAAGTTTAAAGATATTATCATTGATTATTAAAAATCTTGGTTTACGTTTACAATCAATTGATAATCAAGTACAGTTATTAGAGTTTGATTGTCTTCTTATGTTATTTATTCGTCGATTAAAAAATGAAACGTAAAGATTTTCTTTTGTAATTAAACAAAATTCTATTTATTTGTGTAATATAGGACGATTTCATCATCAATTGCTGATAACGTGATGTCTACTATAGTAAAATATCAGGAACGTCTTAAATTATCTGTTGATATTCAACAGATAAAACATATTGCTGATTATTCAACAATAGTGAAGAAAACATCTTTGTTATCTTGTTTTTGTTAACAAAAAAATAATAAAAAATGTTTGCACTTTCATAGTGCATAGGTCTAATTGTGAGATATTTCATTTTGATTTAAAAAATTGAAACCAATAATTTTTATTTTACACTAATATCTTTATTTTAAATGAAAATGATCATTTCTGTTATTAATATCACACCATTAACGAAACAAAAAGACATGTAAAAATTAGTTAATTGAAACGAAAGACTTGTGCAAAAAAAGAAAATTAAACGTTCATCATTACTTCCAACATCGATCGTCAGATTCAAAGTCAATAGTTGTTTGTCGCGTTGAGAGGGGAACTGAAAACGATTTGGCATTCGAATCGGAAGGTGTATAATGTAATTCAAACGAACCATTATCTTCAATTTTTTCTTTGTTAGTACCTTGTTCTTCTAGAATTTGCTTTACTAAATCACCAACAGCACGTGATGCTGCTACTTCCCAACTTTCGCCATGTGCTAAATAAAATAATATTATTCTTCTTTTTATAACAAACATTCATTTACCTGTTAAATCAAGTCCTTCAAGTTCATCTTCTTTAGCTAAACGAATACCTATGATCCAATCTAATGGATAAAGAATACCAGCAGTACATAAAGCAGCAAAACCTAATAATAGTAATGTTATTATTATTATTAAATTTCTTCTTAGATACTATTTACAAACCAATTGCAGTTAGAATACCAGCAGTTTGATACCATAATTGAATAGGTCGCCCATAGAATGCACCATCG